ACTTCCCCTGAAATATGATTGTTTTTATGCTGCTTCGCCTCTGAACATTCTCCCACATATGATATTGATCCTGGCGGCAGTAAACAGTTTTGCCTCGGCGTAAAACTGTTCATTAATATTTAATTAATGTAGGTACGGTCCTTATGAGCAGGGTGTCACTTTGTGCAGTACCCTCACGACAGCTGAATTGAAAGGTAGGAAACTCATGAACTGACTTTCAGGTACTGTGTTTATCTTATTTCTTATTCATGGGAAATTTCTTTAATTATATTTCTTCACAATTAAGGTTATATTGTATTACTTTCGAGTAAAAGAATTAGGACACATTCCATTCAAAGCTTGCTGGCTGGTACGCAAGTACAGTCGCTGTAATACTTCAATGGTTTACGTATTTGGAAGCAAAAGTGAATAATTTCGCTAAGGTTTTAAGTAGAAATTTAATATCGGTATCTCTGATTAAAATATTTATCCGTTAATAATAGGCCTGCTAATTGATTTTTTTTAGTTTCATCACTAAATAACCGTAAATTCTGAACTAGAATCTTCCATACTTATAGATATGAATTAAAACTTAATATAAATAAGGACTGGCATTTCAAAAATTGATCTTTCTTGTAATATCTTACTATTATGAGCCTATAATTTTACCCATTAAAAAGTAGTAGTTACTACGTATAATATTTTCTTAACATTATGAAATATATATTCAGCCCACATAGTGTTTTTACCGCTTTCATATACTTTTCTGAATAATCGTTCGATTATTTCCCTTAACAGCATTAATAAGCTTATCTTTATGAAGGAATCTGTGACTGGTTTTATTAAGGTAAGAACCAAGCTTGTAACTATTATTTTGAAGAATTTGTGGCTTCATAAACTTATGTAATAAAATGGCATGTATTGCTACTCCAGAAGTTAGCATAATATGAAAATCCTTAGGTTCTATTCAATCTAATGAGAATGTTAAATATAACTGAAGCTGCAATAGATCTTCATAGAAAAATAAAATATTTTTTTTTGTATAAGCACATTTAAATACATTCATATTTAAATAAATTACGTAATAAATTTAAAACGAAGACAACTTAATTATTAATTAAAATCTTTATATTTTCGGTCTCTTACATTAAGGGAGGAACATAGACTGAGGGTGTTTGAGAATAGGGTGTTGAGAACATTTGGACCGAAGAGGCCTGAAGCTTCAGGAGGTTAGAGAAAACTGCATAATGAGGAGCTTCATAACTTGTACTCTTCTCCAATTTAAGTAGAATAATCAAGTCAAGGAGGATGAGGTTGGCAGGGCATATAGCACGAATAGAGGAGACGAGGAATGCATATAGGATATTGGTGGGAAAGTCAGAAGGAAATGAACCACTGGGAAGACGTAGGCATGTGTGGGTGAACAATATTAAAATGGATCTTAGAGAGATAGGATGAGGGTGGTATGGTTTGGATTGATCTGGCTCAGGATTGGGGCCAGTGAAGGGGTCTTGTGAACGTGGTAATGAAACTTCGGGTTCCATAAAATGCTGGGAAATTCTTGAGTAGCTGCAGATTTGGCTTCTCCTCAAGAAAGGCTCAGCTCCATAAGTAAGTAAGTAAATCTTTATATTTTATTGTAATGCCATTTATAATTTTCTTTACAATTGTGAACAATTTAAAATTTAATGTAAACATATTCGCATCCTTTGATTTTGGCACTTGCTTCTGAACATGTAACTTTACATTTCGTCAGTATACTTAAGCGTACTGATCGTGGTGCGGCCTGGAAACTGAAACAGGAATCGCGTGTAGCTGCTTCTTGCTACTGTGTTTTGTTTCTAGATTAAGTTATTTGATAATTTAATACCTCGAAATGTCATTGAATCGAGGATATTAAGAACACGAGCTGTGGCAACAATGTATTTCATCACAAAAAAATCAACTCCGTTCCAGAATTCTATATTTTTCTTCTAATCTGCTATTCCATAAAGGAATTATTATTATCTTCTAATAATACACTGATCTCAAAAGTGTCCATGTCTGCTTGGATTTAGAGAATGAGAGATATATTTAAAGTAAGAGATATTTATCTCCTTTTAATATGGGTGTGAAAATTGTCTCGTACGTTCAAGGAAGATCATAGATTAGGGAAACTTGAGAACAGGACGCTGAGGAGAAAAGTTGGACAAAACAAAGAGTAAA